TGCTGACTGCAGACCGTTTTCATGCACTACCAAAATCCGAAGTAACTGAAGTCGTCTGGCCTAATGGTGTCCTCCAACGGGATGCTAGCCACAGACCGAAATTGATCACATCGGCATCAGTTACCAACCCCACTCGTTCTGGAACACTTGTGTGGATTCTGACCGTGCACACGTTTAGGTCACCTCTCACTCCATTTTGACGGCCGCGCAAGTGGTGGACAAAGGATCTAGCAATTGGGAGATCCGATAGTCCCAAATTTAACCGAATTAACCTTCCAGGTGCCTCCCCGTCAGATACCCATTTGCGCTGGAACGAAGGCACCGCATCTTTCAATAGTGCAGGGAGCTTCCTTTGTCGCACAGCGCTACCGGGTCCGCACAAACATTTGATATCAGACAATACAATGGCAATGCTTGAAACTCCAAGAAATGTTCCAGTCGGTCCTGAACATAATTCAGCTCGATGAATTAACACAAGTAAAACTAAGCGTGCCACCGATCATGAGGACGTATGGACATGGAAGGACACAGATGGATTGACGAACCTGTTTTCAGCAGTCTTTTCAAGTCATACAGTCGCAAAGGTTGAGAGAACAGTATTTAACACATTTGAAAAATCATGGTGTACATGAACAGGAAATCGAGTGAGAGACAACATAGACTCACTATCAAAGAACAACTAGTCCAGGTAACCAATAGGGTGAATGGAACGTATCAGCGCGGTTAGTGCTGTGGTTGTGTTCAGCACAGGGTGTAAGTGGAGGGAGGTGAGTCAGACCATGGCAAGTACAACACACGAACAAAGCGTTTGTACCGTCAAAGGATCGGGTTGCGATGTCGTGTGGCGATAGCTTCAGCCACTGCGATTGTGTGTTGCTGTACTGATCTGGGTTGATAGGCTGGCGCCTTGTAAACAATGCGGATGCTTTGGCCGTGTCTGCTAGGTGTTGTACTATTGAACTGGCTATCATCCTCCTAGATCCAGGAGCTAACCAGGGTGGATTGTGTTCTTCCATTCTTTGGCTGAGTTGTAAGTCCGATGTATTCCGCTGCACAACAGTAAAAGAATGAGTATACTAACATATTTTGGGGGTGGAAAGGCACTTTGTCTTTGAGAGCAAAGGAGCACAAACGATTGCTTGTAAAGTAGGTGCGGAGTGTTGCGGCCGGGGAAACTTTGTTCATACTGTTAAAAGTCTTCTGCCCAGTAGGTCGTCCAGGATATCTCCCTTAAATAGGAAGCTAATGTGAATGGATCTTCTTGCAACTGTGGCGGTGATGGTGTTGTCGGGGCGCTGGTGGGAGATAGAATTTCCTGTTCCAGCGCGTCACCAGAGCCTATTTTCTTCGCTTTGTTAGTTTATGGATCAGATTCCGTTTCTGCTTAAGTGACACGAAGGTGTTAAAGTTAATGTATTGCCCGGACCAAAAAGGGTTTTCGGTAAATCGATCGCTTCAGTGTACCATCGTGACGCCGTTCAAGCCCAACATCTAGCATGGCAGTGTAAGCGGCTGATGTTGGTGGCGTTGCCGTGGGCTCACCACTGGGCCCAATGCTCTCCGGTATTTCCATGAGTTAAATTGAAAATGGTCCCTCGAAAGCTAGCACAGAGAACATGCAATACTACTGCCGATATGTAGACATCTTCGCAGTTGTGAACAATGGAGCCGAGTTGGAATCGCTCCAACAACAGTTTAATAAAGCCCACACTGTCATCCAATTCATATCCGAAGGAGAAAACGATAAATTCTTTCACTTCCTAGATGTTGGCCTTGAACAACGTCTGGTACACTGAAACCATTGGTGTGAACTGTAAAGCAAACTGTCCCGGACAACTGGGGAATAAAAAAAACAGTACCTATTTTCAACGAAGGTCCTTGATTGTGTTAATAGCAACCAGACCCTCGGGGTTACTTGTCCTTCGTCGCCTGTAAAGTAGTGACCTGAGAGAAACGAGTGGGATTCCAACCGAGTAGGGGTTGAATTGACCAAATTTTCATACTAAGGCGCGTTCGACTCAGTTAACCAGGCTTTCCCGTTAACACGCTCAGCTGGGAGTGCCCCAGGCGCTTGTATTCTCAAACTTTCACGCGTATGAGAGTAAACGAAGTGCTTTCCAATAGCTTGTGTACACAAAGTGTTGTCCGACAAGGATTTTCTCTCTCCATTCTTATACAATTTCGCGATCTAAGAGGGAATGAGACCAACGTCTCAAGGTCTCCATAACCTCGTCGATATAGAATATCCAGAGAAGGCGCAGGTTCACTTGAATGAATTGATCCCTCGACATGCACCTTGCACCCACAAAGTTCACGGACCTACTTCTGGGCGTCCAGTTACCGAACACGCCAATCTAAGGAGATGCACTCAGAATTATGGAGCGTTCTACGTGTCTTGGAGGTTGTATTACTTCCGATTGTAGTGTGATGGATGAGGTCAGTGCAAGGATCACTGAGGTAAAGGCCGTCTTCGATAATTTTAGATGCTTATGGCGACAAAGAGGCACATTCTTGTATCCCAAGGGGCGTATGCATCAAGTCACAGTATGGGCTGTTTTATTGTATGGCTGTGAGAAATGACCTCTGCCAGCAGCCGAACTGAGACGTTTTCTAGAACAGTTGTGCCAGAATCATGGCTTGTTTAAGTTGATGTATGCGGATCAGAAAGGAGATGATCAGAAACAAGTGTTCGGTTGGGTGGCGCGGACGTCAGTCGAATAATGTATCCAGTGCCAAAAACTGCGGTGATTCAGTCATGTATTGCGCATGCCGAATCATCGTTTACCGGAGAGAGTGATTTTCTCCGCCCTCACTTCAAAGCGATGTAAGCTTAAAGGCATGTTACATCTTCTCAATAGCAAGATAATCTCACTAAAATAGCACAACTGTGAGCAGTAGGACTATGCCTGATTCAAAGTAGCGCAGGCAAGGCGATGGTTGACCTTTGAACTGGCAGAAGGATATAAAAGAGAGTACTGTCAGTGCGACTTGGCTTCCAAGACGGGGTCTGTGTAATCCTCCCAGCGTATGGTTGGAGATGGTGCAAGCTGTATCTGCTTATCGATGTCAGTGGTACCCTTGTTGTTAGCCTTTATTGAAAATGGTGGAATGAGTGTCTGGAGGTGTTTAAACACCTTGGAATGATTGTGATTGAATAGCACCAACTTCCTTTTCATCCTATTCTATCCTATCTTGACAATGAGGCTTCTGAGTAAACTATGGTTGTATGGGAGCGATGCTTCAGTGTTCAGAACTCATGTCCGCTGTCGACAATGATGATAATGACTGTGACCTTCCAGACGGACGCCAGCGGTGACCGATCTGCAGTGTGGCTGACTTACCCTCGTACAATATGAGGCACTAATCCCGTAACAGCGCAGAACCACATCACGCCACTACGATGCAAAACTCTAGTTGGGGGATCTTTGGGGTAAACCGCCAAATCCTTTGGTTTGAAAGGCCAATAGTAGAAAAGCAAAGCTTACCAAAAACCAGACATAATAAACCAACCATTTAAAATAAAATGTGAACAAGAAAACTTGGATACATAGTTCGAATTAGTAAGGCGAATGGTCTATGCCATCATTGAGCTGTACTAAACGTGGAGTTTATCGGTTAAGGTAGTGAAACTAAAAGAAGTAAACAAATGAGATATAGAGATAAGATAATAGAAGCGTAGTCCTTCAGAGCGTAACGAATAATTTCTATACGAATTTTTATTGTGATGCGGTGCCAAACTCAAAAATGTAGTCAAGTATCAGCGTTCATGTGTGATCTCAACTCGATGGGGAAACAGATGCGCCAAGCTTACTCCATAGTGTAGTCAGTGTTTAGGTACCATAGACCTATTTCGTTGGTACATTGTTTCAGCTTGGAATCTGTGAAACTAGTTAAGACCATGCAGTCAAAGCGTATGAGTCGCCTTCACCAGCTATGTCGATACACATAGCAACAAAGGTTGACGACCGGCAAACCGTTTCCGTGTTCTTTAGAGACAGACTAGGCTTCCAAGGTGCAGGAAAAATCATCGCACACGAGCTTGATAAAGCCTACCTTTGGGTAACACCTTAACACTCAAAACTATGGTTAATGAATCAGTGCGTGCGCAAGACGAAATATGGTGGACACACAGCTGAAACAGCACTTCGGCAACGAGGTGAACTTGTCACAGCTGAAACGTTCGAACTGTAGTACGAAGCAAAATGTTCCGGTTCAACCTGGTGACAAAGATTGATGCTTTGAAGACTGCGAGCACAGTCCAGGAGAATCTTCCCTATTTTACACGTAGTGCCGAAACGCTGAGGAAAACAAAATCACGTGCACACTCAACGTTAACCCAGAAAAAGTAGACTGTCAACACCATCCAAAAATAACGTTCTACCGTGAAAGATAAGCGACCAAAGAGAGAGGAAAGGTTAAACTAAGTAGGCATACACATACGTCAGGAAAAAAAGTTTTTCTTTTCCACTGCTCTACTCGCACCTGTTAGCAAACCAAATGGACGAAAAGAGCAAAATATGGGGGCCCTCGTACTCAGGGCGATAATGAAAAAAGTTGGAACTGTGTCGCAGTAAAGACCACACATAGTAGTCACGGTGACAAGTGGACCACAATGTCCTAAACCACGGACTCACAATTTAAGCTGGACAGTTTCAAAAGACGGCAGCAGTTGTTACACACCTCTTGATTATGATATTTGGCTTCTGCGACTGGGGTGTTCTAGAATATCTCTAAACAGTACAAACAGTAGGTGAATGGATGCCCATGAAATGGGCTTGAATACAAGAGGAATTCAGAGAAGCGGTCACAGTTTATAAAATGCAGAGATAACGTGGCAGTATAAAAACAGGGTGGAAAACTGGAATCCCTGAGGCTAGATCTTCAAATGGCCAATCACGTAACGACACATGTGTCACCCCCCCCCCCTCCAGGAAAAACCACCCACGATACAAAGGACAGGGGAGCACAATCATGCACCGACACAAAATGAATGGCTGGCGAGAAAGTAATTTATAAATATATACAACAACGCCCAGGATGAAAACAGGGCGAGGCTTTGCAAAGATTAAGACTTAATAATTAGCTCTTGGCTCGAGTAGAATGAGGTGCATATTAGCGATACCTCCTACTCATGTGAGGACTTCGTGAGTATGGATGATTGTACGTCGAATGCTGATCGTGGGATCGTCTGTGAGGAGTTGATGTCTTGAACGAGGCATTAGAACCAGATGCAGAGTGGTTTGAGTCGCGCGAAGCCGATGGTGTGTCATTGACCGATGCCCCGTTGCGCGAGTTGCGAAGAGTTTGAAGTACACGTTTGTAAGCACCTTCCGTTCCTGGGAGATTTTCGAACGGTCGAAACGGCTGCACGCCTACGCTAAATGCGTCAATGTTTGGACGCTTCGCAGACGAAGAGGCGCCATCAGCATTTGATCCATCTGCCATGCCTGAAGGTCTACTGGGTGTCGGCGTCCCATCTTCCGAGGCGCTGATGAGCAAAATTTGGGAATTAGAACGATCTGAACTCTTGTCTTTCGCGCCACCGTCATCATTCTTCCCATTAGAAGTGTTGGAGGCAACTGTTCCTGAAAACGTCCAAAGCGAGGGTTTATGGAGCAAGATAGATCCAGATTGAACTTATGCCGGAAGGAACGAACAAAATGAAGAGTGATCAAAGCGTGCCACTAAAAAACTGAGTAAACCAGGTGCCTCTTGGGAGTTTATAAAGTCAGAAAAAGCACGCTGCTCTAGAGATTTTTACTAAATCACTAGAATTCACCGAAAGAGTTGTTTCTTGAACCAACTCTCCAACTATCGGAATTTGTCATGGGGACATATTGTAGGAAATCCATGCCGACGGTGAAACATTAGCTCCCTTTCTGAAGCACAGTTTATCCCGCCCTAAAGAATGTGGGAGACTTTAGGTCGTCTGGTAAGTGTTCCTAGTCTAGATCCCGTAGAACATATCAGCAGATAACCACATCATCTCCAAACGTTCCCCATTCTTATCTTACAGGAAGTCATAACCAATGAAATAAAATTCTGACCTTACATGAAGGCCACTGCCACGCAAGTGTTTATTATCACACTTGCGGTTGCAGTACACTCGTCCGCTGTTCTACAGGACACCCACAATAAATCGCCAAGAATGGCTCTCCCTTCAGTATATGGACAGAAAGCTACTGAATTCTCCTGCTTTCCATCACTCGTCCTGGCTTCTGTGTCCAATTTATTGAGTTGGCACTAACAGACATTAGGCAAAACTGAAGTGCATAAAACATTTAGTAGGCCGATTTTAATCAGTAAAGAAACACGGACTTGAGCTCAGTGCAAGAACTCATGAACAAGGTAACTGTAATTTCATCACAATCCACTATGGCTTGTGATGAAATAAGATTGGCTCGTCTATGGTACAAATTCAAAACACCATCACAAAACATAGTGGCCTTAATCAAAGAAGTAAACTTTTTGGAAATGAACGGCTAAATAACTGTACAGACATCAGTTTCATGGACACATGCGCTATACTATGGCCACATCAATCAACTTTTGTGAGAATATAAAAACTCACAAAACTTATGCGATTAATATGTTCAGAGAAGTGAGAAGTGAAGCGTGAAATGATTGTACCATCTCGCCTCACAGTCCGATTATGCAAGATGCCTGTGGTATATGCACCTCGTTGCGCTTAAAAAGGGGTAGAGAATGTTGCATTTCCCATAAATACACCAAAAATCCCCACTTGGTTCACGTTTCGAACCTGCGAACCAGAACATACACCTCAAAGGTTCCCTATTAAGTACAAGTGAAGTCAAAACGGGATTTTCCGACAACCGATGGGAAAAAAGTGTACGCATGCGCATCGATTTTAGAGCGTCAGGGATTGGGGCCAGATGGTTCAGTGGTTAGAGGGCCAATTTACAAACCGGAACGTCCGTGGTTCAAACCCGACTTCTGCATCTCGAATTCTCCTGTCTAGGCTTGGGTAACCTGGCAGTGTCCCAGCCATCGTGCTTTCTTTGCGTGCAGCTAGGGACCGAAGGGGTTACAGCTGAAATATTTATTTTACTTAATTGTGGCCTTACCTCGATAACCTCAATAAGAAGGTGGTCAACAAATTGGAGGACATAACACTGCAAACCCTGAACAAGCCCCTTCCGAAGATTGTGTCAGGACCGTTTCCAGACCAATGTGGAACACGTCAACCCCAAACCGTCTATGACACAGGACGTTGTCTGCAAGCAAAGTCGGTCCCCCCCCCCCCGCGAACCAGTCGTCCTCGGGAAGGAGGTCAATGAAGGAACGCCAAAAAGAAAATAGTTGGGTTCTGGATTATTCACAATGAGTCTCAAACCCTTTAATTGTCAAGTACAGCTCCAGTACCTAGGGTGCTGTTCTATAGAAACGACATATGCAAAATATCCTGTTCCTGCGTCCATCAACAATATATGAAAAATTTGACCCAGGAAAACGTTGGCTATAATTGGACGCTAAGCACTCTGAGGTACATGATGGGTGCATCACATATGTTGTGGTTTGGTTATCAGGGGTTAGGATAATCACGACCGGGGGTTGCTTTTGGACTATGGAGAGCAATCGTCAACTGGCCTTGACTTGGAGGCACCAGGCGTGCTGTTGCAGTGGAATTAGTTCACTAGCTACACAACTTCGAAAATCCATATTCTTCTCGTTCAAATACAGTGAATCTTCACTTAGAGAACAGTGACGAAAGAATGTCTTCCTATGACCAAGAGTCCAAGGACAGTTCTGGTCAGACAGAGTCCTGTCTATTGTAAGAGAAAGACGACGGTCAATCGCATGAGTGTCCTCTCTGAGGGTAAACCATTGAGACTGCTTTATAACGCAAAACAGCGGGTACTGATTGGTGACCACACAGAAGGGTTTAAGGAGTTTAAGGAATTTCCTAGCTGAATTTTCCTATCCAAAGGGAAGGTAACCAACCGTTTGCCAAAAATCTTCACACATCAATAACCAGCTGATTAGTTCATAGCTTGCTTGTCCCATTTTGGGATCTCCACTAGTGCATGCTGTAGAAACGCAGCAGACGATGGATTAATAAATAGTAATAATAGTAGTAATAAATAGTAAATAAACACCGAGTACCACCGTGGCATGAAGACTCTGTTAACGATTACAGAGACGGTCAGGAACGCACTATGGCTTATTTGTTATCACTAAAGGACATTTAGTTGTAGGATTCTTATAACTCCTAATTGAACTGGAAAGCGCCGCTGTTTGGGTGATGACCGAACACTGTACAACATATGAGTGGCACAACATGACAAAACCCAAAAAAAAGGCCATAGACGTAAGATGATGAAAAATTGACGGAGGAATGAACATGAGATACACAATGAACCTGAATTTTCCGCTGGCTTTTGACTGTCCCCCGATTCGGAGATCCCATGCGACATGAGTACTTTTGCGTCAAGCTGACGAATTTCAGCAATGATGCGTTCGCGTTCGGCCCGCAACCTTTCCAGCTCTGTGAAAAATGATGTGGACAGAATCAATCGTAACACAAGAAACCGCGAGGTGCGAGCGACAAGTGTTTCGGTTGAAACCTATATTGACGGTGCTTGTAAATACCACCGAACTGTCAGAGAGCATCGGGGACTCGTTCATCATACTCAAACAGTACAACAAAAAAGTCTATACAAAGGCTGAAGTAGATATGATGCGCGTATAGAGTAATTCAATCAACGTAAGAAAGCCTTCCGCAGAGATGTTAATCCTCACGAGTCTGTAGGAGGTTTACGAGATATGCACAGCTTGAAATGCGAACCGATTCACTCATTATTGAACAATCCCGTGAAAAGTAATTGAAAATGCGCCTCAGAATGAAGTACCGTCTCGCCAATTAACGTAACTGTCGTGCACAACAACATTACTTGGGATCAAACCATACGTTCGAACAGACACCGTTACACGAAAAAATACGAATGTCAGTGAACATACACTCATTTGCAAACTAATTTGGTTTTCCGAGAGACTCACCTGGAACCCAGTTGAACCTCTCGTTTGTGATGTTTCCAGGCAACCGAATGTGTTGCACCAGGCCGCCTCATGTTTCAGTCACTACGGTATTCGAAATATCGCGATACATGTATATATATTTGTAATGTACTACTCATAAGGTTGCTGGTTGCCTGGTGCAGCACATTCAGTTGCTTGGAAACATCACAAGCGAGAGGTTCAGCTGGGTTCTAGGTGAGTCTCTCGAAAAACCAAATTAGTTTGCAAATGAGTATATATTCGCTAATTTCGTGCAATCTGGTTTGAAGTAGAACATAAGGTTGACAGAAATCCGGGGACTGCGCCTGCCTGATGAGCCCCAAAAAGGGCGAAACCGGGCGTGGGCTGTCGATGGATTTTCAGCAACCTTATGAGTAGTACATTACAAATAAATACGGATGTCATATCAACGCAACCGAACCGATTGATATGATTATGCAACAGATTGATAAAGTCGGTGAAACTCTGTCATGAAGCCTCAGACGACGTGATTCGTCCACATAATAATATCGAACTACTACATGTATTACTGAAATGACTTGTGTCAAACTACACGTCCCCGAAGCTGCAGTCAGACATGCAAGTTCGAATAGGTCGATCCGGTTAGCCGGTAAATAATAAAATCGTACTACCTCTAGGTTGTACCTCTCCGCGGACCATCTCATGATCAAAACAGAAAACTAGCGACGGTGTTTAGATTCTTCGTCGAATCGGTTAAGCCGCGCACAACGCACAATAAACGCGTCTACGTGAGCATTCCAATCGACAAGATAGAACACACTACTAGTCACAGGTAGTTGTAAATTAATCGAACCTCTTTGAAATCGCTCTCATTGCTTGGCTAATGGCATGTTTGTCTGCAGCTATTATTGGTCAGATGAGTTAAACTTTCCTATCGGGAGGATTAAATACAACCTAACGAGTTTTTCACCCTCTGAAAATTACCCTCCGTTACAAAGCGTCTGACCAGTTTTTATGTGATTTGTCAGATGATGCAAAACCTGTCTGCACAGGAAGTGATGGTGAGCTCTGGAAGTAAGTGATAATTACGTAATTGCCAGTAACTTTTGGTCATATATATGTATACCTCATCGATATTCTGGATAGGGACTGAAAACAAGGACGCTACTGACACCGATCGGCAGCCACATGTTGCACCATCTCCAACCATACACATGGAGGATCACATGGACCCCATCCCGGAAGACAAGTGACCCTGACAGTACCCAAACTTTTTGTAATCTCTCATTTCCTTCCGCAAGGTCTGCTTGCGACACTCTAGAATGGGCTCAGAAAACATCACTCTTTCCGGTAAACGCAGGTATGCGNACGCAGGTATGTACACGACTAAATCACCGGAGCTTTCGGTCCTCGGCGCACTCCTCTGTTGAAGTCTCTACTGAGAAACCAAACGTTTCTTTCCTAATTGTCTCGATGCGAATTAACTGACATTAGCCTACACAGCCTACGATTTCGAGACAACGATTGTCGAACACCAGACATTCATAGGGGCCATACAGAGCCATACAACATAATACCCTATACGGTAGCCTGTTACACACATCGCTTGAGATTTAGGGTTATACTGTTTTACCGCCAAAAGGGTCTCAAATTAGCAAACGGTGCCTGAGCCTAAGATATGCGTGCACTAACTTGATGCGCCACACTACAATTGGAACTAATAATACAACGCAGAAGATACGTAGAAGGTTCCGCAACTTCAAGTGCCTCTCCTTAGGTTGTAGCTGCCGTGCTCAGTGACTGCATGCGACAGCGTGACCTTACACTTTGTGTGTTCAAAGTGTATAGAAAAAGATGGAGTTAGCTTATTCGAAGACACCTATGTCTTCGTCTCTTCCTCAAGGACGAGAATGACATCGTGTGCATAGTTCAGATCGACAAGGTCTTCGTCAGCAGCTACTTGGACACTACGGTTTTGAACTAATTCCGGTGTTCGTTTCATTATTTCATATACATAACAGAAGATAATTATTTTATCACGACAGAGTGGATGAACTAAGATATGCCCCATAACTACCAATGCAATTCTATGGCTGATTTTTTGTGATTCCATTCTAGCGACCAGTGAAATTCCGAACATTTGATTTTGGCACCTCCAAGGTTTTCGAGAGAATTAACGGCTAGTCCGACAAAGAACTATTTACCATCTGAGTGGGCCAGAAGCCGACTGCAACCAAAGGAAGGAAATGCACTACTGTGTTGGGCACCAACAAAGTTCCATATCGTGTCAAACAAAACCCAGCATACAAACTAGCCCACAGGTTGGTCGAATGGGAGAAAACATGGAAAATTTGTCCAGTAGATCATCAAATGTGAAAACTATCACTATCAACCTTCTGGAGGTCCGATCCAGTTGAGAAGGGGGCGAGATGGACCAAGTAGTTTGAGCGCGAATTTACTAATCGGTACATCCGTGGTTCGAACCCGACCTCTAACTTTCGACTTCGCTGTCTAGGCTTGGGCAACCTGGCAGTATCCCAGCCCTGTGTCTCCTTCGTGCGGCATGGCAGCTAGGTACCGAACGGATGCTACAGTCGAAATATTTTTTATCCATGACAAGTGGCCACTGTGGCGGCGGTAGCATCACGTCATTACGTATTACCATGCCTCTGCTTCACCGCCAACCCCTTGCCATCTTAGTTGTTTCCTTCCTTAGCAGCCTTGTATCATGGCCGTCCGCTTTTACGAAACACAAAACCCACCACTTAAAAAAACGATTCACTAGCTCCTCGTTCCCAGCCAACTCATTTGTCACAATACAGACAATAGGGAAGCCGAAAGTATCGCCAGTGCGATGACAACCCTCCGGGTGAGATCCACAACCCACACCGGTTATGCATGATCTAATCGCGTAGCAAGTTAAAAACCAATGATGAATGACGGACACTGATACAAAACTTGCTATCACACTGTGGTGGGATGAAATTAACCCGAATAGCACAAGTGATGTTGACAGAAGTTTCACTCTAGCAAACAGCGTTGCGCATATCCTTGAGATAACTGGCCATCCACTGTGTCAGTAGGCAGGTGTCACAAACTCTAGGCGTACCATGGCTGTCCATGCATCAATACAACAGAACCCAGTCAAATGAACTAGGGTCAAGTATTTGAGATATAGTGTAGTCTGTTTTGCTAGAGGAAAAGTGGCGCCGTAGGGCCAACGTCCCTGATAACAGAGATCCTATCTGTGGTGTTGGATAACTTTTCGGTGAATAGAAAGATGACCTGCACGGTCATTTTCCCAGGAGGTCTTTATAGGACGAATGACTAGTGGAACAACACGGTCAAATGTATAACTACAATGTATTTGTTTCACACACAGAACAACTAACCTACCTGCCAAAGATGGGTTTTCATTATTGTGCTCCGACGATAGACGTGATGAGCGTGACAGTGCAGCATAGAAGTTATCCAACATGTGATGGCTTTGCATTCTCGGACAGTTTAGCACATCACACTCATCTATGTACGGATACTCTATTTGGGTGTTAAAACCCATGAAACTAACGAGTAGATCTCGGTTGTATTTGACTAGAAAGAGAAGAACGAAAGAGAACAATTATACTGTTTGTTTCCAGCATGTAAGCAAAGTAGCAGGTTAAGATGTCTGATCGTCACTGAAGGTAGTTCTTTTATTAAACGAATGTTGTTGAACACAATTTCTAACCTATGTAGCCATTAGACTGAGTAAAGGAAGGACTAAACCACAGCATCCAGCTCTAGCTGTGAAAGATGGTTGTGTGAGGAGACCTGGTGATTTTCAATCGAGGATTCGTCCTGAAATTGACGCTAATCTAAGCGGAAAAGCCTAAAAGCACTGATAAAGCTGCTTCATTCTTTTTTAGAATCACCAGCAGCATGGATCTCACGAAACTCCAAGGAGTTTCGGACACCTAACGATTCACTCAAGAGTAGTTACTCAGCGGTGTGAGTAAGTCACGAGTAACTGTAGTTGTGCTAGTCTGCAACCGACAGGCCAAGCTCCAAACACGAAAAACTGCATGTTGATTGACAATCGTTGCTACTCAAAGTGACCAGAGGCATTTGTTTGCGAGCAAACACATTATTCGTTGTGATTAAATGTCTCTATTAAGCAACCATGGCTGCTCGATTGCTCCCGTCTAAACTGGGACGACGTTGCAGTATCTCAGCTCTTCTGCTTGCTTGACGTGACACGGCAGATATGAAGAGAAAGTGTCAGAGCTAAACAATTTTCCTATTACTCTGCAACTTATTTCGAGCTACCAGTAATGGCAAACAATTCCAGACTAGTGACCTTGTTTACTTTGTAGATGACAGTGTCACAAAAGAAGTCAAGAACGTACTCTACCACCAGATAGAGAACAAAATGGTTGCGAGTAGACAAGAAACAGAAGGGAGTCATTCATGCGGTTGCCCTTCAAAGAGTAAACTGGGGAGGCGCCGTTAACGTTGCACTGGTAAACTACCGAACAAGAACATAAATTGCTGCTGAAAAGCAGCAAACGGAATCGAGGTTTGGACGACCATTTTGAACACAAACTGATGCATATAAACTTTCAAATGAAACCGAGCTTCTTAGATGGACTCAGGAATCAATACATATATCGACAGAACATCCTGTAAGGTGTTGAATACGTTGGACTAAGAGATCTTCGTTCCAAAGCGCCAAAACACGTTAACAAATCCATGAAATATATTCCAAATCCCATCAATAATTACACATCTGCTCGAAGATGGAAGGCAAAAGAACGCAATGTAGCTTTACTCGCCGTCCACCAGATAGAAATACTTTGAATAATAGCCATCGTTGAAACGCTATGTTCATGTCTGCTGGGCACCAACTGTTACACCCCAACAGATAAATAATGATGCTTATTAAATAGATAAACGAGCATTTGACTGAATGCATACACATGATATGTGTCGGCCTTGATCTAGCATTGCATTTCGTCCTGGACCCATGTGGCTATTGGGTGATATGTCACCTGCTGGATCAGCTAATCAATACACAGTTGTCACCAGCCGGATACTACTTTAGCCTAATGAATGAGATCTTGCCTGCCTTACCTTACTGTTGCCCATTATACGTTTTACCGCAAATGGAATCCAACTCTAAAGACACATACCCCAACAGGGAGGTTGCACTCTGCAGAAGGTCAGTAACTATCTTCACCGTCAGCCGCCATCTAATACGAAACCCTAACAAAACTAGGCCAAAAATCCCTTCCCCTGAAATGTTCATTCCCAAAAGGCTACTGTAGTCTTTAAAAAACAAATTTTTATGCGTTCATAAAGGAAACTACTCACAAGGCTGCTGAAAAGTCCTTGACAGCAACCTTGTGAGTAGTTTCTTTTATGAAAATATACTGCAATATCTCGAACACCGTGCTAACTGAAACATGAGGCGGCCTGTGTGCAGCACTTTCAGTTGTAGAACATCATACACGAGAGATTCAGTTGAGTCTCTCGTAAAAACCAAATTGGAATGCAAATGAGTGTATTTCTCGAAAATTTTTGTGGTTATATTGTAGCCCTGAATCGGTGGCGACGTTGCAACCGCTGTCGGGGATAAGGGTGGTCGTACAACGTACGTTAGTCAAAACACGGTGATTGCCGGCCTCCAAATGAATCACGATTGAAATACGATACTCATCCTCGTTAACTACCTCTTCTCTAACAGGCACATACACACATCACTTGCCGTCACCCTAGACGACCGATTTTGTTTAACTTTCGAAGTCGTCATGGATAGTAAATTCATTTGTCAACGGAAACAATAAATGATGTGTTTGTTGTTACAGCATATGGGTTAAGGTCGGACGGCAAGGTGAAATAGAAACCGACGTTCGCAATCACCGAGGACGTAAATATCATTCAGTTTTAGTCAACGAAGCTTGAAAGGAGAAGGAATGCCAACAGGAAATGTTCTTTAGTGCTACAACACTACACTTCGAAAACAGTGACAAACCATATCGAGAACTCTGTGGACCAGAATAAAGCTGCTGCTCAAGCTCGTCTAGCTGCAATGAGCAACACTCACGCAGTTGAATTGGGAGTAATATGCACTGGAAACACCAACAATGCTGGCTGACGGGACAGTAGTACAGGTCACAACCCCAATCCGCCACAAAAGGTGCTTACTTAAAACAAAACGGTGCTTATAAACCCACCTTCAGTGTCCTCAGCCAAAGCTGCGACTGAATCGAACATTGTGAGTTCACCACCCACTCGAGCTTTCCGTAACCAGCCTGGAGGATAGCCTAGAGTGCGCATACGGTATATATGAATCGGAATTTCATGAGCTGCCAGATTTAGTGCGTGCCGCAACTTATCTCTGAAGCAAAATAGGAGAAACATATAGCACATACGACATTAAACCAGGGCGAAACTTTGAAAAGTCTTCAACTTCATGATATCGTTTGCCCGTAACTGGTCTTCGGGGTCTAGCAGGAGCGGCTGAACGTTCCGTAGCTGGAGTTGGAACCTCACTGAGGTCTTCCTTGACTGTCGGGTCGTAGATGATTCTGGGGAGTTGGGAACTTCTGGAAGAGTTGGAGAGTATAAAAAGTGAGCTTACTGGGCCACGCCACTTTTGTCAATCACGAACAGATCTTCTGCGTCTTCATCCATAGGACTGAGTAACAATCGTTAGGCAAGCTGGAAGCGGTGGTTGCAGAAGTTCTATCACACAAGCGTATAAAAGACTCACAACGGTTTAAAGGTAGAAGACACGAAAAAACAATATGATGAACGGACCTTTTAAGGGCTCAAAACTGTGGTCCGTCGAATCAGTTAGGCGATTTGTGGCTGAATGATGAAGTGCTCAACCATTAATCGGAACTCCACGGCTCCGAGTCTGCATTGAGGCTCGTGATAGGCGCGATGATGACCCATACCCTCAGATTTCCCGTTTCTTAGAAAACTTTTGAAATCGTCAGATGAAAGAAATTTGTAATAACTATCTTTAGCTATGCGATCGTCAAAAAGCAAGTTCCTTATTTTCCAATCACCAATCACTTGAGGAGCTGCTTTTCCGGACGACATTATTTCGAGAAGAACCGGCACTTCACTGGTGAGTCCATGATGAAAAAAGGTTTTCACATAATGGCAGCATCTCGGATCTTCGGTATTAAACCACATACTCAGTGAGACAAATGTCCTCAATAGACCCACCACCGGTATTGAGTGGAGTATTGGTACCCAGGCTTCACGGATGGCTGTTGTTCTGCTCACTAACTTGGTTGAGAGCATGTTGTTCGGCACGCGACATCATCAGGGCGTAGTAAATTAGCGCGGTATCGTTGTTTATTGGTGTAAGTGTAACTCACGCGGAGAGCGCAATTACATTGCCTGGCTCGGTGAATATGAGAACAGCCATACCTAACACTCAGGAAGTCACTGCTAGAGTGGTTTTGTTCACCGCCTCCTCGTATTGATGGTTACACGAAAGGCGTCTTTATCAGATTGATAAACTAATGGTTGTTTATAAAATGGAGTTGGATAAATACTGAACATAGATCACTAACGTTCGGAGCGTACCATCTAAGTTGTGATATAAATTTATGGTGAGTATTAAGGACAGTTGCTCATTTCAGAATTAACTGGAAGAATTTATATGAGCTGTAAAAATGATTAATTCCATCGTCAACAGAATGTGAGAAAGGCATCCCAAAAGCGTGTCGATTGATGGATATTAACGAATTGGGGTCGATAGATACTATGGAGCATGTAGTATGGTATGGAAAAGCACGTCAGCCACAGAAAATATCAGAATCCGGAAATCTACGGTAAGAATGTTACAGCAGGGAAAGAAGTCATCATCTCAAAAGACAAATGACCGTCATCGTAACCATTGAAAAAAATGGATCCGTGCAGGAATACTGTCCTGAATTATGTGGGTATAACACTGACCGTCTTAACGGCGTTTGCAGGAGCAAAAAAAATCCGCCACCAAAGAGGATGTTTTGAGACCTAAGAACGACATCCAACTTCCCTCTTTTGGCTATACTGAACATATGTCTTATGGCTTCTAACTCTGCTGCTTCAAGTTCGAGTATAACCCCTTTTTTCTCGAAAAAAAAAACAATTTCCATCCCAGTCTCGTTGAATTTTAGCTCCTATATTGGGAAATAAGCCAAAGTGATGCATCTCCTCCCAGCCAAAAAGTGAATACAATGGTTCACCATCGATGCCCAGCTACGCACAAATGAAAATAAGCACGAGTGTTGAATTACTGCCAGTTTGCCCTGAGAGATGCAACCGCTAAACAAAGGTTGCATTCGAATCGCGAGCTGATCAGCAAATTAGCACTCTATGCACTGAGCTGTCTCGGGCTTCAAGCCGAAAACCATAATGTTCCGAATTTAATACCTTGTTCGATTTGCCCAACCCTTGGAACGCTCCGTTTTCTAATCAACGGCCGTAGAAACCCAAAGAAAATATTTATTATCGTGTTGAAGATATCTAAGTCATGAAGTGTTGCTAAGTGAGTGGCTGATGATACAGACTGTTATATACTGACGTTGTATCTAACTTTTTACTCGCTATTCGTCAAACTAATTGTGTCTCCTAATGTTTTAGCTGATGCACTGAAATTGTTAGAAGATTAAAGCCAAGCATTCGGCAATCCTCGTTCTCTATTTCTGGCACAATCATTCGAGTGCGCAACAATTTAATCTTCTAACAAAATACAACGGATCGATTGTTTCGCCCAGATCGGTTTGACGCCGACCCCCAAACCTCTTCTGCTTCAGAACAATGGATCCATTGGCACGAAACGTTTACGAATTTCCTGTCATGCATCGAACTCCCAAACGTTGACAACAGAAAGCTTTTGGTAAATTTTCTTTTTCCGTCCGTCTATCAACATGTTCGTGAGTGTACTGCTTACGAAGACGCCATCCAGACGCTCGGAATGATGTACATTAAACCCAAAAATGAAGTGTTTTCTCGCCACGTGCTGGCTACTACCAAACAAGATCCGGGTCAATTAGTCGATGCATTCTAGTCGACGCGTTCCTGCAAAAATTACGTTACCTTGCCAAGGACTGCAATTTTCGTGCGGTTTCTGCCGATGAACATCGGGATGAGGCTATTCGAGACGCTCTTATCACAGACTTGCATTCCAATTCCGTTCGCCAACGACTACTAGAAAAAAAAACACTCTTAATCTTCAACAAGCGCTTGACGTCTGCTTGAACATACTCAACAACAGTCACTCTCATACGACTCATCTTCTCATGTTCCCTGTGGTGCCGCATCTATCAAAACTGATAAACCTTTGACTCCTGTTCGTGAGGCACTCATCTCTCAGACTGGCTCTAATGACACGATTGCAAGCGCATCCTTATCTTGCTTCTTTGTTGGCACGTTCGTTCAAAATGCCCGGCTCGTGAGACTTTCTGTCATTCCTGCGGCAAGAAAGGTCATTTCCAAAAAGTTTGTCGATCCAAACCGAGTTCAAGTCGTATCACATCGACGATGAACCCTGGTGTCTCATCCATTTTCAACATCTCTTCATCCATTGGATTTTCCAAATCAATCGTTGATGTTATAGTGTATAATGTCCCACTTCATTCTCTTATCGATACTGGTAGCTGCGAAAGTCATATTTCTTTTGACATCGCACTGAAGCACGGCTGGACAATAACATCTTCTAAGAGCGCTATCTCGATGGTTTCAACGAATTTATCATGTGTTACTAGCGGCCATCTTTATGCTACCGTGCCGTACAAAAGCACGCGATACGAAGGTGTCAAAGTGCGTACCACCAGATTCCCATTGTCGACAAAGATAAGCCATATACTGCATTAGAGGCATGTGGTAAACTCTTTCAATTTCGCCGCATTCCGTTCGGAGTTACTAATGGTGTGGCCTGCTTTCAACGCACCATAGACAAGATCATACGCTCTCGACACATACGCCCGATACATTCGCATATGTTGACAATGTTACCGTGTGTGGTCGTGATGCCCAGGAACATGATCGGAATTTGAAGAAATTCCTAGAGTCCTCAAAACGTCACAATATTACATTTAACCAGAAAAAGAGCATCATAGCTACTGCGAAAGTACTATTGCTAGGATACAAAATATCTCACGGTATGATAAAACCGGGTCCTGAACGTTTTCGAGCCCTACGGGAGTTGCCTCATCCATGTGACATCCGTTCACAACGAAGATTGGTCGGAATGCTGGCATACTACGCACACTGGATCCCATGTTTCTCAGATAAGATTCACCAAATCGTCCGCAATCAGATCTTCCCGATTCCAGATAGCGTACAAGCGGCACTGAATAAGCTCAAACACGATTTGGAAAAGGCAGCCGTTTTCACCATAGACTACACTCGTCCACTCGTTGTGGAAACTGATGCTTCCGACATAGCCATTGCGGCCACTCTCAATCAAGACGGGCGCCCGGTAGCTTTCTTTTCACGCACTCTGTCACACAGTGAGCGGCATCATTCAGCAATCGAAAAAGAAGCGTACGCGATTGTTGAAGCTCTGAGAAAGTGGAGACACTACCTGATCGGCAATCACTTCACACTTGTCACGGACCAACGATCAGTCGCCTTTATGTACGACAAACAACACAAAGGCAAAGTAAAAAACGACGAAATCCAGAGATGGAGACTTGAACTGTCCTGTTTTCATTACGATGTCCAGTACCGTCCAGGTAATCAGAATAAAGCCGCTGACGCACTATCGCGGACTGATTACGTATCTGCGATGTCACAGGTGGATCTCAAACATCTTCATAATACATTATGTCACCCCGGTATCACGCGGATGCTTCATTTCGTTCGCTCAAAAAATTTGCCGTTTTCGACCGAGGATGTTAAGGCGATTACAAATCAGTGTAGTATTTGTTCGGAATTGAAGCCTCGTTTCCTCAATCACCCTTTTGGCAATCTTATTAAAGCTACACAGCCGTTTGAACGCGTCAGCATAGATTTTAAAGGCCCACTTCCATCGACCTCCCACAACAAATACCTTCTAACAATGATCGACGAGTACTCTCGTTTCCCATTCGCCTTCGCGTGTACGGATGTGTCCTCATCCACCGTGATCAAGTGTTTTAATCAGTTCTTCTCTTTACTCGGAATGCCCTCATACGTCCATTCTGATCGTGGTGGAGCTTTCATGTCAGGCGAAGTACAAACGTTTCTTCACTACAGGGGTGTGGCAGCCAGTCGAACTACCCCATACAATCCACGCGGTAACGGACAAGTCGAACGGCTTAACGGTACTCTTTGGAAGTCCATCACTCCGGCGTTAAAGACCCAACAACGGGACATTATCGAGTGGGAATGTGTGCTTCTAGATGCTTTGTACTCTGTTCGCTCCTTATTGTGTACCGCTACTAACACAACACCACACGAAAGATTTTTTAACTTCCACCGGAAGTCAACGTACGGCGCCTCTCTTCCGACATGGTTATCGACTCCAGGCCCCGTTCTGTTAAAAAGGATGACACATTCCTCCAAATACGATCCGTTAATGAGAGGTGGAACTTGTTAACTGCAACCCGCAGTACGCCTGCGTGTGTTTCTCGAACGGAAAGGAAGTAACTGTTTCTCTTAGACATCTGGCACCCAAAGCACAAAATATCTCAGATGTCTATTTAACTGAATCAATCGAAAGT